TTACTGGATGGAAATACTGTGAATGACTTAATGGACTGAATGACAATGCTTAAACTCTAACTGGATTAAAAACTATTTAAACTACAAACAGTGTTTGTGTTCAGTGTGTGTATACTCTGGGGCCCTTCCGCTCTCCTTTGGCTTCCTGGCTTGACTACTGCTGCAATACTCTTCTAGGGGTTAATCTCCAAACCCTAACAGGTGCTAACACCATTCTATAAAGCCTTAGTAAGACCGCACCTAGAGTAGCGCATCCAGTTTGGGTCGCTATCAAAAAGGACGTTGAGACTCTAGAAAAAGTGCAGAGAAGAGCAGCCAGGATAATTAGGGGACTGGAGGCTAAAAGATATGAAGAACGGTTGCAGGAACTGGGCCTGGCTAGTCTAGGGAAGAGAAGGACCAGGGGAGACAAGATAGCGGTCTTCCAATATTTGAGGGGCTGCCACAGGGAGGAGGAAGGGATCCAACTATTCTCCAAAGCACCTGAAAGCTAGACAAGGAATAATGGATGGAAACTGATGGAGAAATTCAACCTGGAAATAAGGAGAAACTTTCTGACAGGGAGAACAATCAACCCATGGAGCAGAAGTTGCCCTTAGAAGTTGTGGGAGCGCCATCAGTTGACACTTTCAAGAAGAGGCTGGACTGCCATCTTTTAAAAATGGTGTAGGGTCTCCTGCTGGGGCAGGGGGTTGGACTAGATGACCTACAAGGTCCCTTCCAACTCTGATTATCTGTTAACCTGTCATTTGGTAATCTTGGCCTGGCTCACCAGCCAGTATGGCTTGGGAAAATGGCACAATGCACCAATGTTTATGTCTATGCGTCGGTCCTAGGATTGGGTACTTTGACTAAGGAAAGCACAAACATATAAAGAAGGGTTGCTGGAACTGAGTATATCTAATCTAATGAGAAGAAGGACTAGGGGAGACATGATAGCAGTGCTCCAATATCTCAGGGGCTGCCCCAAAGAAGAGGGAGTCAAGCTAACCTCCAAAGCACCTGAAGGCAGGACAAGAAGCAACGGATGGAAACTCATCAAGGAGAGAAGCAACCTGGAATTAAGGAGAAACTACCTAACAGTGAGGGCAATTAACCAGTGGAACAGCTTGCCACCAGAAATTGTAAATGCGCCAACACTGGAAGTTTTAAAGAAGAGCCTGGACAACCGTTTGTCTGAAGTGGTGTAGGGTTTCCTGCCTAAGCAGGGGGTTGGACTAGAAGACCTTCAAGGTCCCTTCCAACTCTGTTACTCTATTCTATTCTAAAAATAAAATATATACATTTCCTTCTAATTATGGCTTATTGCAGTCAGCCAGATGTTCAGACTGGATTTGGCATTTTTGTTCACCTCTTGGACCTTGATGGTGTTAAAGTCACAAGATGTTGTCAATGTTAGGAAATTCCTCCTTAGTTCCAAGTTGCTTCTCTCCTTGGTTAGTTTCCATCCGTTGCTTCTTCTCCTGCCTCTTCAGGTGCCTTGGAGAATAGCTTGACTCCCTCTTCTTTGTGGCAACCCCTCAGATATTGGAAGAGTGCTATCATGTCACCCCTAGTCCTTCTTTTCATTAAACTAGACATACCCAAATTCCAGCAACTGTTCTTCATATATTTTAGCCTCCATCCTCTTAATCCTCTTTGTTGCTCTTCTCTGCACTCTTTCCAGAGTCTCAACATCATTTTTTTACCCCGTGACAACCAAAACTGGATGCAGTATTCCAAGTGTGGCCTTACCAAGGCCTTATAAATGGTATTAACACTTTATGTGATCTTGATTCTATCCCTGTGTTGATGCAACCTAGGATTGTATTAGCTTTTTGCATGCTGCTGCACACTGCTGGCTCATATTTAAGTCACTGACCACTAAGACTTCGAGATCCCTCTCCCAGTTGCTGCTATTGAGCCAGGTGTCAGCAAATCTGTACCTGCACATTTGGTTTTTCTTGCCTAAGAGGGAAGAAAACCTTACTTTTGTTTATCTTGAATTTCATTTTGTTAGATTGGGTCTAGAGTTCAAATCCGCGGAGATACGCCTGCTCCAAATCAAGCTGCTTTCTGCAATTGACTGATGGCGACTTTTAGTATTTCTCTTTAATTGGTGTTATGATTTGTCTGACTCCTCAGAGGGTGGGAAACTTCAGACTGGGAAATTAAATGTCCAGCCAAATTAAAAATCCAGGAGCTGATGCAGACAGACCCGAAAGAGACTCATTAAAAATGTGACCGATTTAAAAACTAAAGAAATCAGAGAATAAAGGAAGGGATGGACAAAAGAGGAATGCAACAGATGGAAAGCATTGTTGGTTTGCTTAACCTTTGAAATGGACACCCATCATGGGTTTTCTCATAATCAAGCCATGATTTTGGACTCGGCTTGGTCTAGGATGGTCATAGTTTCCCAGTTCAAACTATGGTTAGATGGGTAGATAGACAACCCTATAAGTTGGTTTCAAAAAGAAGCCAATCTATATTTATAAAAGCGAAATATCCCTCACACATCATCACAAAATCTCCAGAACCATAAAGACTACAAACTTGAAATTTGGCATGTATGTTCCTCTTGGCTTCTGGGTACTGACTAAGAAAGGGTTTTTCCAAATGACCATCAGAGCATTAGCATTTCCTATATTATTATTATTATTATTATTATTATTATTATTATTATTATTATTA